CCCGAGTTGGAGCCAGTGCCCCCAGAGTGAGAGGACAGGGCACAGGGTTCCCGGTCATCTTCCGCGTCAGCCATGAGGGCAGTGCAGAGTGGGTGGCTAGACTGGCTTAGCATTATTTATTCAACAGTGTTTAGACTAAATTCTCCAAGTAAGGGGCAAACATCATTAGAGTAGATTAAACACACACACACACAGGCACACACGATAGGGATGCTGAGATAAAAACTATATCGTTTTTTTTTCTTGAAGTGGGGAAAAAGACCAAAAAAAAAAAAAAAAAAAACCAAACCCACGAACTATTTCCCATGCTCCTGAGCAGTTAGATATGGCTTGTTCCCAAGGTATGGCTAATGGGATGTGATCGGAAGTTAATGTATGTAATTTTTGCATCATGCCCTTAAAAAGAAAGAATGTGGCTTCTCTTTCTCTCTTTGCTGCTGGCTGAAATGTGGACAAGATGCCAGAATCTGGTACAGCCTTCTTGGAACAGGCGTTGGTGTGGTAAATTATAATACAGTTCAATAAGTTTGGTGTTCCTACCCAGAAGTAGATCATATTCTCTGCCCCATGGGTGTCAGGCTTGGCAACATGACTTGTTATGATCCATGAAATATAAACAGATATAATGTGTGTTACTTCTGAGCAGAATGTTTAAGAGTCACTGAGTGGTTCTGCCATGTTCTCTTTTCCTTCTGATATATTATAAGATGGGCAATGACTGAGATTCAGCTGGGTCCTGGAATGAAAACGATGAAGAGTAGAGCCAAATTGGACCCACAGTAGGCATGGAGTTTAAGCAAGAAGTTAACATGTGTTTCCCAAATTATACCCAACACCTGGCCTACTTTTATTAATAGCAAAACTTAATAAAGTCTTCAGTGCAGTGAAAGGCGAATCTTTAAAATTAGGTGTTACTAAGAGATGTCATGTGCCCTGAGTCCTTTGACCATAGATGATCCTGATGGCCTTCTCTCCCTGGTCCCTGTGCCTCCTTCTACTGCCATCTTTTGCTGAAACATTTGCAAGTAAGTAGCAGACATGGTACTCACTTACCTCTAAATACTTCAGTGGGTGTTTCCTAAAAATAAGGAAATTCACAATACCATCATCAAAAATCAGTAAATTAACACTGATACAGTACTATTATCCAGTCTGTAGAACTTATTTGAATTTTATCAATTGTCCCACAAATGTCTTTATGGCAAAAGAAAAAAAAATACTTTTGGTCTAAGATTTGATCTAGAATCACACATTGCATTTAACTTTCATTTCTTTTAAATTTAATTTAACCTGGAACCATTTCTTAGTCTTTGTTTCACATCCTTGCCAGCATTGAAGAGGATAAATCAATTATTTTGCAGAATATCTCTGAATTTGAGTCATCTCATGTTTCCTCATGATTAGATCCAGGTTATGCATTTTGGGTAATAACACCATGGATGGGCTATTATGTCCTTCTCAGTGTATGATATCAGAAGACATATGATATTGATTTATGCCATTACTGATGATGTCAACTCTGATCACTTGGATAAGGCGGAGTCTGCCAGGTTTCTCCACTGTAAAGTTACTGTTTTCCTTTTTTTTTTTTTTTTATTTCAGCAAATTATGGGTGTACAGATGTTTAGGTTACGTGTGTTGCCCTTGGTTCCCCCCCCCCCCACCGAAGTCCGTGTTTCAAATATGTCCATCCTTCGGGTAGTGCGCATTGCCCTCCTTGTGTATACAGCTGTTTTCCTTTTTGTAATTAATAAATATATTGTGTGGGGGGGTTTATACTTCTTAAAACATAATATTTGGATTTTTTTCTCATTAAAAAGTAATTATCCAATAGAGTTTAAAGGACTGACACCAACCACATTCTTTGGCCCCACAATGCAAATACATTAGAAACTAGTAATAAAGTGGTAATTAGAAAAACTTTCTCATCTTTGAGAATCTAAAAAAACATGTTTAACTCATGTATCAGAGTAGAAATTATATAAGCGTTATACAATGAATCTATGGTAAAACATTTCCCCACAATTATCACAAGTTCTATCAAGCAAGTTTAAGGAAGAGAGAATTTCAATCTCACACAAACACTTTTCAAGAATAGAAAAAGAAGAAACACTCCCTAACCAATTTTACGAGGCTAACATAATCTTGATAACAAGTCAGATGGGTCAAGTACAAGAGGGAAATTGCAGATCATTATCACTCAAATATATAGATACAATACATTCTAAACAAAATTTTAGCAAACCAAATCCAACAATATGTAAAAATGATAATAAGTCATGACCAGTATGGTTTAAGTCAGGAATTTAACGTTGATTTTGGCATTAAAAAATCAATCAGTGTCATTCACCACAGATTAAAAGATCAAAAGAGAAAAATCACATAATCATCTGAACAGATGAAAAAGCTTTTGATGG